AAATAATTGTTAGGTGATTTTGAGAGATTGTCATGTAGTCTAGTGTCCTAATTGATTGAAATATTCAGCACCATTGCATCATACAATTCAAAAATTGACACGTTTTTATTTTTTATTTTTTTCACAATCTAACAAAATAATAATAATAATAATAAGACTCACTATATTAATGAATGATAATGTATATGGATACCACTTGAATTTAGACCATAGAATAACTTCTCCAATAATTGGTATAGAACAATATCACATTTAATAATTTTTATTATCAAAATCTCTTCATTCAAACAACCCATTAATATATATATAGATATATATTTTGAACTAACAACCCATTAATATGGAGTAATTATTTTGTCAGAAATATCATGTTGGTCCTTGCTCGTCCAATTAAAAGGGACTAAATGTTTATATGTGAAAAATAAAAGATATAGTAAACAAATCATAAAATTTCATTAGACAGACATGTAACTAACTGCATGGTGTTTTAGATTCACGTGACAAATTCAAATGGGTTTGGATAAATCAAAATGAATTATGCATTTAAAACAATCCATTCAAATCTATTTATTTAATAAACAGTACTGATGTGAGACAGATGAAATTCAAATTGATCCCTCATCAAATAAAAAAAAATTGCTAGCTTTATCAGCCCTTTTCAATTTCCATGTCCCCATTTGATCTAGCAAGCATGAAATGGGGTCCATTTTTATTGTGGTTGAACGGTGTTAAAAGATGTGTCTACACCAATACTTTATTTCTTTATTATTTTTTGATAGAAATTGTTGGGATATAAATTGATGCAAAACTTGCAATTAAATCAAAATGTCATAATGACATTCAACATTTTTTTTTTCTAATTTATTTATTATTCTACAAGGCAAGTTTTACAATAAAATAGTATCTTTTACTTTTAAAGTGAAAAAAAAGAAACATCAAAAAAATCATATTAATAAACTAAGAACTCATTAAATTTTATATCACTTTTTCCTCCCTCATTTATCAATCCATAAACTCCCCTCAATTATATATTTTTTTATTATAAATATATTGCTTTTAAAAATTGTCTACAGAGAATGTACAAAGGATAAAATCTTTATTTGAATGTCTGGTTAAATTTTTATTTTTAAAGATATAAGACAATAAATAAAATTGATATCTTTAAATTTGAATATTTGGTTAAAAACACTTAAATAATTAGAACTATCTCAATTGATCAGTAGTATTATACTTTATTAAAAGAATTGACATTCATGTTACACATCAAATTCTCCCTAAAAGATTCACTCACTATCATACTATGAGATGTATAAAAAAAAATTAAAAAAAATCATTTTTAATTCATTGCATAACTTTCATGTGATTTTTGTCTTTTTGTCAAAATAAGTCAAACAAACGATTATTAGGCTAAGGCCCATTTTCAAATAATTGTTAGGTGATTTTGAGAGATTGTCATGTAGTCTAGTGTCCTAATTGATTGAAATATTCAGCACCATTGCATCATACAATTCAAAAATTGACACGTTTTTATTTTTTATTTTTTTCACAATCTAACAAAATAATAATAATAATAATAAGACTCACTATATTAATGAATGATAATGTATATGGATACCACTTGAATTTAGACCATAGAATAACTTCTCCAATAATTGGTATAGAACAATATCACATTTAATAATTTTTATTATCAAAATCTCTTCATTCAAACAACCCATTAATATATATATAGATATATATTTTGAACTAACAACCCATTAATATGGAGTAATTATTTTGTCAGAAATATCATGTTGGTCCTTGCTCGTCCAATTAAAAGGGACTAAATGTTTATATGTGAAAAATAAAAGATATAGTAAACAAATCATAAAATTTCATTAGACAGACATGTAACTGCATGGTGCTTTAGATTCACGTGACAAATTCAAATGGGTTTGGATAAATCAAAATGAATTATGCATTTAAAACAATCCATTCAAATCTATTTATTTAATAAACAGAATTAAATAAATTGAGTCAAATTGAATACAAATTAAATAGATGAATCAACGCATTACTTTATCGATCGAATAAGGTTAGAGATGTCAAAAATTAAAATCCCCAAGTTTCAATTTCAACAAATTAAACACTAGAGTTTCGTCTGTATTTCAATGTGAACTTTCCATCCATCTCCGTCTCACTTCTTCTTTTTCTTTCTTTCAGATTCAAACCCACATATTCAAACCATTGTATCTCTCTCGTTGTAACTCTATTTCGTCTCATTTTTGTGTCGTTAGATTCACCTCATGGCCTAATTTTTATTTCATCTCTCATATACCTTGTTCCACCTCTTTTTACATGCCGTTAGAGTTTCGAAAGTTGGCCAAATTTTTTTTTCTCTCTTTGGACAAAATTTTCAGATTCAAACTCATATATTTAAGCTCTTATATCTCCCACGCCATAAATTTACATCATTAGATTTACTTGATGACCTAATTTTCATTCCACTCCTCATGCACCTTATTCCACCTCTTTGTGCTTGCTGATGGAGCTTCGAAAGTTGGTGATTTTTTTTTCTTTCTTTGGTTATAATTTTCAAATTCAAACTCACATGTTCAAGTCCTTATATCTCCTTCGTCATAACTCTACTTTGCCTTATTTTCACATTATTAGATTCACCTCATGGCCTAATTTTTATTCCACCCCTCATACGCCTTATTTCACCTATTTTTGCATGCCATTGAACTCCGAAAGTTGGCCAAAAATAAGATTTTTCTCTTTTATTTATTTATTTATTTTCTTCCTCTTTCTCCTTTTGGCTTGCTTTTGCTGCTACAACTATTGCTTCATTATCATTATTTGCCAGATGAGGTGGTTGTAGTAATGATGGCGATGCCGTTGAGTGGTGATAGGTATACAACTATCTACAAAAATTAAAAACAAATGGGTCGGTGAGCATGTCAAGGCATCTTGGTTTCCAATCAAATATCATCCATTACATCTCCGTTGCTAAGAATATTGTCATGATAGCAGTAGGAAAAAAAAAAAGAAAAGAAAAAGAGATAAAAATATTATTTTTGGCTAACTTTTGAAACTCTGATGACATACAAAAAGAGGTGGAGCAAGACGTATAAGGGGTGGAATGAAAATTAGGCTATGAGGTGAGTCTAACGACATGAAAATAAGGATTTAAACATATGAGTTTGAATCTGAAAAAAAAAAAAATTTCAAAAAGAGGTAGAACAAGGTGTATGCTGGGTGGAATGAAAACTAAACCATGAAGTGAATCCAACGACGTGAAAATAAAATGAAACGGAGGTCGGTGAGCATGTCAAGGCATCCTGGTTTCCAATCAAATATCATCCATTACATCTCCGTTGCTAAGAATATTGTCATGATAGCAGCAGGAAAAAAAAAAAAGAAAAGAAAAAGAGAGAAAAATATTATTTTTGGCTAACTTTTGAAACTCTGACGACATACAAAAAGAGGTGGAGCAAGGCGTATAAGGGGTGGAATGAAAATTAGGCCATGAGGTGAGTCCAACAACATGAAAATATGGATTTAAACATATGAGTTTGAATCTGAAAAAAAAAAAAATTTCAAAAAGAGGTAGAACAAGGTGTATGCTGGGTGGAATGAAAACTAAACCATGAAGTGAATCCAACGACGTGAAAATAAAATGAAACGGAGTAACAATGAAAGAGATACAGGGGTTTGAACATGTAAGTTTGAATCTGAAAAAAGGAAAAAGATTAAGTGAGATGGAGATGGACAGAGGTTTCACATTGAAATACGGATGAAACTACCTGATTTAATTTGTCGAAATTGAAACTCTGGTGTTTAAATTGAAAAACATGCGAAATCTTGGGATTTTTTTTTGTAATTAGCCCTCTTTTTTTCTTTTTTATTTTATTTTTATAATCTTTAGTGAATTTTTTCAAAACTTTCTTGTTTGGTTTGAATTTTTAGGAATTACTTTTTAGAAAATTGAAATTTTTTATTTTTTGTATTTTTTTGTTTTCACTGAATTTTTTTAATATTCTAGGCAATTTTTTTTAATTTTTAGATACACCTAACATAAATACACTGAAAAAGTATAATATTTGTGAAAAAGATCTTTAGAAAATTAAATAAATACCAAAAATATATAATAAAAAAAAAGAGAATTCAATACATTTTTTGTATTTTTGTGTATTTATTAATTTTTTAAAATATTTTTTTATAAATATTTTATTTTTTAGATACATTTAAGTAAGGTAAATCTAAAAAAGTAAAAAAAATATTTAAAATTTTAAAAATATTCATTAAAAACAAAAAAAAAATGAAAAATAAAAAAACTCAATTTCTAAAAATATTAAATTCAGAAAATTAAAACCACAAAAACTAATTAATTTTGAAAAATTAAAACCACAAACACTAATTACTTTTGATATTCATCTATCTAATATGGACCTAAAAATTGAAAAAAAAAAGGAAAATAAATTATTATTATTTTGGAAAAAACTCTAGACTCACTCTAAATATTTACATTATATAAATAATAAGAAACATAATGAAGAAGTAACAAAACATTAATTGGAGGGAGCAGGTGGTGATTAGATCCAAAGTGACATGGATAAAAATGTAATTTCAACAAGTTGATAATAATGGCCTCATTTGATAAGTTTTCTATTTTAAAAGGTTGAAATTTTTGTGTTTAGAAAGATGATTAATTTTTTTTTAATTAGATATAATATTTATGAAAAAAAAATAAAATAATTATAAAATTAAATGTAATATTTTGTTTAATTTGATTTTTTTTTAATTTTAAAAGTGAATGTGATAAAAAGTGGAATGTCTTTTAGTAGAAAAATCCACATCTTGTGGACTTGAATTAATTTTAGCACTCCTTCTTTGACTTGTGTCAGAGGAAGGAGACTTCACTTTGACATTAATAACTCAAATTAATTTTATATATAATTTCTATATTATATTAATTTAATTTTTATCACACAAATCCATCAATTTGATTTACACCACGCTAACACATTTAAAATAAATGCCATTTTTCAATAATGCAAACCTCCAAGCACTCCACAAATCCTTTGTCGTTAGTTCCAAGCAATTGGCCCTGTGGGATCCACCGCCACCCCAATCCCCATCCCCATCGACGTCGCCACCCCCATCACCACACAGATTTGGATCCAATTCCAACGACCACCACCGCCACCACCATCACCATCATCATCACCATCACGACGGCGTAGCGGCGGAGAAACCTCATCGCAAAACCCGACGATCTCTCTCTCTCTCTTCAATGGATGAGGTGATTACGGCCGCTGATGCGTCGTCGAGTCTTCGATCGTACTCATCAGAGCCGTCCGTTGGGCCGTGGAACCTCCCTCTCCTCTCTGCGTTTCTCGCCTGTGCTCTCGCTCAGTTTCTCAAGCCCTTCACCACCTGGTAAGATCTCGGAAGAACGCTTTGTGATTTTGTATCTGGCTTATCTTTATAGGGATTTTGGTTGAAATTATGATTTCATGTCTTAATTTGGCTTTAATTAGATTGTTGTAAAGCTTTAGATTTGCCATTAGTGATGTGATTAATTCTAATTCTCAGGGATTAGGTGTTTTTGTTGGTTTCGTAGTTGAATATTTTTTTAGCCTTCGAAATCTTTTGCTCCAAATTTTGTAATTTTAAGTATCAAAGGTGACCGCTTTAGGTTCATCAAAGGCTATCTCAAAAAATTTAAACCCCCCCCCAAAAAAAAAAAAAACCATTGAGATGATGCAGAAGAATCCATAAAGTTTTATATAAAACACAACTATTGGATTAAACTGACACCATTTATGAGCAAGGAAAGCTTTTTCAACCTGAATCCCTCAATTGTATTTTAGCATAAGATTGTGATCTTAAGAAGTGATATGATTAAGATATATACATTTCGTACACGTATCTTATTGAGATAAATATATTGGGACAAAGTCTTGTTGAGTTATAAATGTCAATTCTTATGAGTTAGGTTCTCTATGGAGTTAATTGTTAGAGTGCCCTCTTTCATATCGGCTATTGTGTTGAAATGGCAATGTATGTACTGGTTCCTGCCAAATTGGTTAAGCATATGGTGACATTGAATGCTGGAAACAGGGGTATCAAAGAGGAGTACGTGTTTTGAAGGAAATGCAGCCAATAATGAGGGATATGTCCATTTATATGTTCCATGAGAATGATGCTCAAAAAAGGACGTTAAGAATGCTTAGAGAATTACAATTTACAAGTGATCCTTGTGAGTGTTTGCAAAAAAACACCAGGACAAAGTAAATATAACTCCCTTTTATCGGAAACTTGATATCTACTTTCCTATTTGAACAACTCATATTTTTCACATGTCTAATTGAGTAAGTTGTCTACTTCCCAAATTTAAGAGATTTTCATGAGGTAAGAGGTGATGATTTGGTGCATGTATTTCACATGCACTAATACTGAACTCTTTTTTTTTTTTTTTTTCCCTAAAATGCCATTGTGAAAGTTATGTTCTCAAGGTGGCACTAAAACTTTATAATAACCATTACTTTATCTGTATATACTAGAGCTAAGCGCCTGCGTGCACACATATGTAGGTGCTAAAGTTTGTCATTGATGAGGAAACATGAGACTCGAACTCAAGCATGTGTTGTTTGTTTCCATTGACATGCTTTACCTGCTATCAATGTTTTAAAACCCGGACCGGACCAGCTGGTTCAGCTGGTAGAACCGGTGACCGGACCTAGTTTCAGTCTGGATGACCCACAAAAACCGAATTAGGCAAAAAAATGGGCATTGTTTGCAAAAACTGGAAAAACGGTGGTTCAACCGGTAGAACTAACGAACCGGTCCCGGTTCTCAACCAACCTGTGTTTTTTTTAAATTTTTAATTTTCTTTTCTTTCTTTCTTTCTTATATATATATATATATATATCAAAATTTTGACTAAAAATACTTCAAGAGTCTCCTCTCATGAGGAGTCGTCTCATTGGAAGCTTGAATAAATTGTGAAAGTCTATTCCTATTTATAGGAAATAATTATTCAAAGAAAACTTAAAAATTCAATGTGGGATTCAATTAAATTGTTTAAATCATATTTGATTGAAGGGAGAGTGAAAATTTTTATTTCTCTCCAAAACTAAATCTAGCATTCAATCAATTTGTTTAGAGGGAATGTTAAATTTTTTTAATTTTATTAAAACTAGTGACTTTTTTTTTAATCAATTATGACTTTATTAAATATTATTAGTATATATTATGCAACACTTTTTTTTTATTATTTCAGTAATTATATATAATTTTATTGATTTATAATTTAGAATTATGTTTTTAATTATATAATATTAATTATGACGTCATAGTTCGACCGCTTTGACCTGATGATTGAACCGATGATTTGTCCATCTGGTCCCTTTTCCGGTTCGCTCACCGGTTTGGTTTTCAAAACTATGCCTGCTATAGTGCACTAGTGTCTTGTAACAAGTTAGCATTCTAGATGTAGGAAATTAGTTCCATATGAAACTATTATTGAGTATTTTTGGGGGGAATTGAAAGATAAGTTCAATTGTATTGGTGAAGTTTAGTTACTGTGAAAGGAATAAATGTAGGAGTGAAGTTTTGCTAGTCAGAAAGAGAGTTGTGGACATTCTCTATGATCACATTAATTACCAAGTATAACTAGACGGTTTACAACACTTCCATGTGGGAGAGAGAGTTTTAGGGATGCATGCCATCCATAAATCTCTTTATCTGCGAGTTGGATAGGAAAGTGAGGAGATGTCTTTTGGTGAAGTGCATTGATGCAATTTGTGTGAGTGGCCCTTAAAAAATTTGATATATCTAATGTTAGAAAATCATCAATACAAGTAATTTTAGTTCCGTTTTAATTTTATATCCTTGTTTTATGTTAGAATGCTCAGATTAACATGGTATGTCCAATTTTTTGAATCAATCGTGTTTCTTATTTTTTTGAGAATCTACGCTTTCCAGGAGTTGTAAATAGCCGTTGATTTATTCTTGTTTTGCTTTGCTTGTTTGTAATATGTGCACATAGATGTGCAGGATCAAGGAGAAGAGGTGGGATTCTAGAAGGATGGTTGCTTCGGGTGGAATGCCATCATCACATTCAGCAACTGTTACAGCTCTTGCAATGGCTGTTGGTTTACAAGAAGGAACTGGAGGAGCTGCATTTGCCATTGCCGTTGTTTTGGCGTGTGTTGTATGTACTTTTTAAACCAGGTCTTCCTCATTCTTTTGTATTGCATTTGCTTGCTCAGGCAGTCATGCTTATTTTTGCCATATGAATTGCATGGAACAAACTAATCATACACTCTTTTTTAATTTTCTGTTGCTTTATGTCGAAATTTATGAAATGCTCAAGTTATTATTTTGGTAAGTGAAATTTTATTATCTGGCCTTCTCCCTTTTTATTTATAGAAGTAGATTATTATTGGTCTAGCTAAGAAAATATGGAAGTTCTATTATATCCATTGACTATTAATGTCTTTCTTCTAGTAAGATACGTTTCGTCAAAAAATATAATCCTTGTAATACTCCTGTGCTATTTCTTGGAGACATTATTTGTAATTGCTCATAATTGGATTTAATCATGTTTTTTTATAACTCGGTATCTGGCCCAGTGGACCACCAACTAATGCGGGGAACCAATGCCACCGTCCACTGACGGAGGGTCCGATTAAAGCCCGCTCAAAGCCCCATAATGACTGGCCCCAAGAAATTGTTTGCAGCTAGGAGGTTTCAAAACTGAGACCATGGAGGGAGCACACCCCCAGGCCCCAGGCCTTAGCCACTAGGGCCCTTTGGAAATAGTACATAAATTTGATTTTTGTGATTGAAATCTTCAGATAATTTTGTGGTATAATAGTAACAGTTTTTAAAGAACGACATTCAGACTACTAGGCCCTGGTTGGCTGGAATTGGTTGATTAGCTTTACCATATTGAACCAAAAAGTTGCATTGATTTAAATGAGAAAAAAGGTCTCCCAGGTTGATGTCTATCATGTTTCTATACCATGTATTTTTACATTAAAAATCCAACAAATATTAGTCAATTCAGTCTCAAGGGTAGTTTTCCAAGAATGACTTTTGGACTATGGGTTCCAACGGGGCTCTATGTTAATTATATGCACCGTCTCTCCATGTCATGAGCAGGCAGATATGTTTGAATAGCATTTGGTGATTTAATGTTGTGTTATGTCTCTCTTTACGTGCATTCATTTTGAGTTTGGTTTCCTACAGGTAATGTATGATGCAACTGGCGTTAGACTTCATGCTGGTCGGCAAGCTGAAGTAACATCTCTTCATGATCATAGACTTTTCATTCCAAGATTATGTACATTTTTCTCTGTCATTCATTTCTTGATAGTTTGTGTATATGATGCTTATTACAGTTATTGAATCAAATTGTGTGTGAGCTGCCTCCTGAACACCCCGTCTCTAGTGTTAAACCATTGCGAGACTCACTTGGTCATACTCCACTTCAGGTATATAATCATGCTTATCCTGTTGGAGTGCCTTGGAATAGTTAGAGATTTTTCTATTCTCATGTCTCTCTCTTTGATGGAGTTTGTTTAAGCTTGCTCATTATGTATAATGATGCATTTTTTGTTGCATAAGACACCATGTGACATGGGACCATTGTTTTAAGCCTTTAATATGAATGTGAGCTTTTTTTTTTTGTCAATTTGGTGCTAGATATGTTGCTTCTTTTGTAGATCTACTGTAACTCCTGTAATGAAGCATGATAAATTACCAAAACTGGAGATCAGGCTTGTTTTATTGGTTGAATGTAATTATGGTTGATAATGGGATCTTGTTCATCCACATGAAATTTCTGGGGTTTTCAACTCAAACTACGTTACTGGCATTGTTGGACCAAGATGTGGTGCGATGCTCTTAGGCTATGTTTGGACAGCAGAATCTTGAGGGGAATGAGAACTTAGTACTAGTAATAAAATTCCCGTGTCAATATTATTCAGGCCTTTGGTTTCATTAGGAATCAACCATGGGAAAAATTATAAAAATTTAAACATTGTGGGCCCAATTATTATGTTTTACTCTTAGGCTATGTTTGGATAGCAGGAATCTTGAGGGAAATGGGAACTTAGTACCAGTAATAATCGTTAGGAATCTGCCATGGGAAAATGATAAAAATTTAAATATATGTTGTGGCCCAATTATTATGTTTTACTCTTAAATGGGTAACATTCTTCTAATGTGAGATTTCCAAGAGGAAGTGGGGAAAATCAGATTCTTACTGAAGTAGGTAATTGTGAATCACTTTTCCTATTGCAGTCCATTCCAAATGGTGGAATCATAGGGACCCGGAATCACATTCCCCCCCCCCCAAAACCCACCACCCAGGAATCTTGAGGGAAATGGGAACTTAGTACTAGTAATAATCGTTAGGAATCTGCCATGGGAAAATAATTATAGAAATTTAAACAGTGTGGGCCCAATTATTATGTTTTACTCTTAGGCTATGTTTGGATAGCAGGAATCTTGAGGGAAATGGGAACTTAGTACTAGTAATAATCGTTAGGAATCTGCCATGGGAAAATGATAAAAATTTAAATATATGTTGTGGCCCAATTATTATGTTTTACTCTTAAATGGGTAACATTCTTCTAATGTGAGATTTCCAAGAGGAAGTGGGGAAAATCAGATTCTTACTGAAGTAGGTAATTGTGAATCACTTTTCCTATTGCAGTCCATTCCAAATGGTGGAATCATAGGGACCCGGAATCACATCCCCCCCCCCCAGGAAAAGACTATCATCCAAACTTAGCCTTAGCAATATTTAATTACCTTCATCAAATGCCATTCTGATGAAAAGATTATTCTGTCAAAGTATTAAAGTTGCTCTTACCTTTGTTCAAAGCAAGATAATTATTTGAAGTTCTACAACTATGGCTTCTTGAAATTTTCAAATAAATGCTTAAAGACAAGTCTTTCATTATCTGAAGTAGTTCAATATGCTTACCTTATACACTTGATAATAGTTGCTTACACACAAAAGAATAATTATGATGATCATTATTTATTGTGTTGGCTGAATTTTTCTTCTTTTTACAAAAATGAAAATCCTAGAATTTCTTCATGTCCTTATGAAAACTCTTCTTTTTTTTTTTCATCGAAATTGTTGCAGGTAACAGCAGGTGCTATATTAGGATGTATAGTAGCATACGTCATGAAAAGCTCCAGTTAAGGGATGGCGCAGTTATTGCTTCTCAATTACCAAATCTTCAAGAGGCTTTCGAGCTTTTCAATTGTGGAGGTCACATCACAGCTAAACCTTCCACGATATCAAAAGAAAACGTGGGAGACCTGTCTGTGTTTGAGGTTGTAATGACTGAAAGCTTGTTTTCTTGTTTCTGGTCTTGGTTTGCTTTTCTGTGTATAAATTGATTTTCAAGGTTTATCGAATTTATGCCGTGTTTGATATTTAAAAATGATTTGGAACCCCGGAAGTTCCCCATCTCTGTACTTTCTGATAGTTTGATGGTGTTATCATTTCTGTTTGTTGAGTGATTAGACTGATGGAATTAGAATGTTAAATATTACAATGATTGAGAAAACATATATTTGAAGGACATATGAGTTTTTAGAGCAATTTGAATGCTTTGCCGTAATCCTCTGCATATAGATGTTTAGTTTGGATTTGTTAATAATTTTTTTAAAATTTTTAAATTTTTTATCAGTACAGAGGATATTTCAGGAAAATGGATCATTCTATTTTCAAACATTATTCTCTCTTTGTTGACACATAATGAATACAAATTTTATTACAATAACATCAAGCAAAATGATCAAGGACATTAGTACGTACCATATTTCTGTTGGTTTAGTAGTTCATATCCAATCATGAGTTTTTGTTTGGTACTATGTTTTCAAACTAAGGGTGTGAAAAATTTCAAGTGTATAAACTGAGAAATTGAAATTTGTGTAAATAAAAAATCTCCCCAAACATCACCTCCAGATTGTCATTGTGCCCACAATGTCTCAGCCCTAGCCTTCTCAACCTATTCCACAAATTCAACAAAATCATTTTCCCTTTGTTCATCATCACATATTCCACTTCCAATCTTACCGACACTTCACTGAAACACTGATTTTCAGGCCTTGGTTGGTCACTCAACAATTTATCTCCTTATGAGGATATAAAAATCCGGCTGCAAATGGGAAGGGTTCATTGCTTTCCAGGAACCAGTCCTCAGGCTTCAAAATCACAACAATCTTGCTTCAACAACACAACTGACAACCATCGAGGTACAACAACCCCCTGTTTCGTTCCAAGCAGTTTCACAGAGAATCACACAATGTACAGATAAAAACAAGGCAACAATTAGAATGAAAACAGCAATTAGCTCTTATGTACCAGTAAGGTAACTTAAATGTGCTTTGGGACATCCTATATAATTGGTATAAAATTTTCCAGACTAATTTTTCAGCACCGGCCTTTGTGGGTGGTGATCCCGTAAAGATGCATTTACATTGTGCTTTAACTTACATAGAAACACATTAGACAATCACAAATTAATCAGTATAAACTCACTGTTGGAGTGAGACAACTTCTCTAAAGCTGCCTTTACTGCATGAAGCTTGGCATTTTCCTTATGCCCAGAGGACGATGAGGCAATAAATTCCCCGTCCACGTAACGCTGGCGATGTTCTCCTTCCCTCTTCTCCAGTGCGTGATATCCACTTGCTTACCCTTTTTTTGACAAAATTCAAAAAGCATGGTTGTTGCTGGAGAACATCAAGAGTAACAATAGGCTCCAATATACCTCTAAAGATCTAAAATACATGAAAAAAACTATGTCATAAAAATTCTTTCTTAAAAAAAAAAACTACATGTCAAATCTTAGTTTTATGTTGGGAAGTTCACTGCAAATACTAGTTACTTTGAGATACCACAGTTGCCCAAATTAGGATAGAAGAACCTAGTAAATTTCTATAGTCCAACTTTTTATTTCAGAATTCTAATGAAATCTACGAGAAATAGACAGCTGTTGTTTAATCTAATGTAATCTAATTTACTCATGTTCCAATTCAACAGGACCCCATGAAACCAAAATATCCTGAATTCTTAACAAATTTAAAGAGACAATTGTCCATAAATTACACAACTAGGCACCACCCAAAAAGCTTGCAGATCAAATTGACGATCAACATAAACTGCTGCAGCAACAGACTCAACAATTTCAGCAAGAACCTTCGGCGCTATCACCGTCCCTCCATACACCACCGAATCTGCCTCATGCTGAACAGCCAACGTGAAATCCCTCACCTACACAAAATCAAAGAACCAATTTTTTATTTCATAAACTCATAAACCCATCTCCAATCCTTACTCTCTTTTTCATTAAATTTGAGTGAAAAAAGGTTAAAAGCTTGATATAATATGGAACACAACAATCCTAACTCTCTCTTTTTCCATCACAACTTTTTGAAAAATTTCAAACTTATCCAAAAAAAATCTGCTTTAACCATTTTTAATGAAAAAAAAAAAGGTTCAAAATTTGGTGAAGGAATTGGTTACAGTGATTTTTTCATCAAATTTGACAAAACTCCAATCCTTGCTCTATTTCTTCATCAAAATTGAGTGAAAATTTGATTAAAAACTTGATCAGCTATGGCACAGTCCAATTCTTACTCTCTTTTTTTCATCAAATCTTTTTAAACCATTTTTTATGAAAGAAATTCAATCCTTAAATCTTTTAAAATTTCATCAAATTTGTGCAAAAATAAATTAGCAAAACTCTGGAAAACTTGCCTCTCCTTGATGGTTGGAGCATAAGTTAACCATTTTTTCATCAAATTTAAAATTGAGATAAAATTGATAAACATGGAAAAGAAGGTTTTGGGCTAAAAATAGTCTAATAAAAATAAAATAAGTTAAAATAACTTAGTAAGATAAAATATTATATTAAAATTATATTCATTTTATTTTATTTTCTCACAACTATCAAATAAACTGCTAAAAAAAAAAAAAAAAACTATCGACTCACAAATGTTTTTTAAGTGAGGTTTAAATAATAGGGGGATTTAGTGATAGACCCCTCACTGTCTAATTTGTCTTTCAAAAAAACAAGAATTATATAGGTATTTTCAAAACCCCATAATATTTTAAAACTTATTTCTTTTACTATTTTACCCTCGAATGTATTGGATTGGACCGATTTAGAGGTAAATGAGGATGCCTCGTATGAGGAGAGACTGGTATGTGTCTTGGATAGGCGAGATCAGGTCTTGCGAAGCAAGACGATACCTTTGGTGAAAGTTTTGTGGGAGCATCACGGAGTGGAAGAAGCCACTTGGGAACGTGAGTTGGAGGTCCGTGAGAAATATCCGGACTTGTTTGTTAATGTTTAAACATGTATTGGGAATTTTGTTGTATTGATAAACTTTAAGAGCATTGAATATGTCTTAAGTTGTAAAACATTGTATATGTTTCGATTTATGGAAATATTATGGAACTTGCCTTGAAATGGAAGTTTATTTTAACATTGCATATGTTAATTCGGTTTTAGAAATGCAAATATATTGATTGGCATTGAATATGTAATTGAACTGTGGAAAACTTTTGTTGAAAATTTTGAATTTCAAGGGAATGCATGTTGATGACGCATGTTGTAACATATGTTGTAATTTGCCTCATGAAAAGAGATGGAACGCCTGGTAATGAGTCAAGTCGATAAATATTGAATTGTAATATCGTTGAGAATTGAGAAATCGTATTTTTGAAACTTATTTATCTAATTTCGGGGACGAAATTGTTTAAGGGGGGGGGGGGGGGGATAGCGATCCCGGCTTTCCCTTCATTGTTTAATTATATTTCGGACTTGGTTCTGTGGATGTGTTGTTGTCTTATTCCTGTTTTCATCCTTTACTCTTTGTATATGAGTCTTGGGTCGTGTTGGGCAGGTTTGAAATAGGTTGGTTGTGTTTGGAAACCAAGGGTTGATTTTGGGCTTCACGCTCGAGCAGGGCTTTTGACGCTCGAGCGGACCTGTTTGTATATCAGTCCGAAAAACAACTTTTTGGATCACTTTTCAGGCCATTAGACGCTGTCATCCGGCGAATGGCGGCGG